GCAATCTGTGCAAAGAGAGGTTGGATTTGGGAATCCCCTTCGGATGAATTCGCTGCACTGCAAAATGCAGGCAGTGAATAGCACATCCTGCTGCAGATGATCATTTGCTCGCAGGTTCTTGGAATCAATCCCTCGCCCCCTTTTGAATCCCCCGCGCCATAAGAATCAAGCATCCCCTTTAATGCACCACGCTCGAGACAGTGGCCTGAATTCAGGGCTCTCCATGGAGAAGGCGCAGATTCGTCGTAGGGAGGAGGTGGCTACGCTCCTAAAACAGACCGGGCGGTAGCCCAAACTCAGCCAGGTCCCCCGTAAGGTGCTTCATGCACTCTGCATCCTCAGCAACGTGGCGCTTGAGGGGAACAGCTCAGACTTCGTTCTGGTTGTTAGATCACTTAATTCTACAGGGTTTAGGGTGTAGGGTTGGCGACTTAAGGTTCCCTTGAGGGTTTATAGGGCTTACATCGGGATCTGTTACATAAAGATTTTTAGGGAAATGGGGCTTTTGAAAGGGAGAAAAGCCATGGAAAAGCATAGACTGCTGTCGGCTTTTGCGTTTAGGGCTGTTAGTAGGGAATGAAGGAATGGAAAAGAAAATGGACAATGCTAAATTGTTGGGAAGTAACTGGGGCTACCATTCCTGCATGCTCTACTAACATCCAGCAAGAGTATGCAGGACCTGCACGAATCGTGTGGAACAAGGTACGCTTCTTGCCGCTAGCATTGCTCAGGTCACATGCCCATGGTTGAGGGTTTTGGGTGGTGCGCACACGAAACCCTGCACCCTCAACCCTGAAGCCTAATCTGACTGACTGCTGACTGACTTGCACGTATTTGCCATCATGTGGAAGACTAAATGCATGTTAGGGGTAAATGACGGTAATGGAAAACACAACGCAAACTACTATGGATGGAGAATTTAACGGAAAAAGACGGGGCGATAAGATGAAAAGTGGGATTACTCCTTGCAAAGCCTTGCGCTGCGATGCGGTTCAAACACTGCGGTTGATCCTTAGGTACCCTATACCATGGGAATTATGGCGCTACAGTACATCAAGGTTTTGTAGGATTTTTCTATCTGCACGGAAGCTTGGGAAATCAACATCCAAATAATACGTCTGCTCATGGAATCGTATCTTTTTGCCAAATCTAGGAGCCTAAACAATTCGCACAGGGCCTTGTGGTGTATCGCGAAGTTGCTTGCATGGTGGCAATCTTCGCGGATAGGATGTTTTTTGTCGTTGCTGGAATCTGTGCTGCGATTCACTTCATGGAATTTTCTGCCTCCCTTGCTTTCCCTCTGTTGCAAGAACAGCCTCCACTCGAAGCCCCAGTCATAAGTGGATCAACGCAGAACTCAGAATCCAGGAGGGTCCCCGAATTCTCGGCGCAAATTCCTGCGACTTGTCCTGGCAAAAAAAGTTACAGACCTTCTATTTAGAAACATGGCCAGATGCCTCTAAGGTCGCTTTCATGCCTTCATCCAGCCGTTGATCCCAAGAGTTTCGGACCTGAGGATGACATCGGGTTTAGGTTTAGGTGTCTTGGCGCTAGGATCATTTTTGGACTTTAGCGTCCCAGGCTTCGGTGATCAAGATGCCACTGTACCTAGCCCTGAAAAATGGCAGGAAAGCCAGCAAAGACGCAAAAACAGATACTTCCTAATTGGTGGGTTTGAGTTTGTGGCTCCGCGGGGTCCCAATTTTATAAGCAGCGGTGCCCTTGGTGCTGCGCCGCATGGGACAGGCGCGATCTCAATGTGCTCTTTCATGGAAGCTTTTCTCTCGTCACGCGTCACAAGAAGGATTCCGGACATCATGTGTGCCATTGCAATCTGACGTGCAGAGGTTCCCTTCGTCATCTACTTGCTTTTTTCTTCTTCTAAGCGGCCATGGACATCGCAACTCTCGGATGTGTCGAGAATGATCACATAAAACATGTCACATGCCCTCGTCTCCTGCGTGTTTAGCAAGAATTGTACTTCTAAGGCGATCAGCTGGCAGGTCGTGGGAACCACCGTGACTGATGCAAAAGAGGCATTGCCTTGTTGGCTACACCCTGAGACCCTGGCGACTCGAGATCGCATGGAGCGATCCTCTCCGAAGGCAGCCTCCTGCGTCTGCATGACGGCTCATGGGACGTTTCAAAAGGTCAGCTTCAGAGATGGACGACTTAGTCATGAATATGATTGCCTGTGGCATGAAAACAGGAATATGAGCAGAATGAATAACTTGCCTGACTGTCTGACTCTTGCTGAAGCATGAACTGTTCGCTGCCCCCCTAGTATAACCCGTAGGAAACCCCCAAAAAATGGCCAGGCTAAGGCGGCTAAAGGTGATCAAAACATGTTGCTGCAAGACTTCGGGACTGGGTATGTCAGGTATGTCATTGCATGTGCCTTCCCCTGCACACTGGGTAGCAAGTTGCCGCAATCTGCAGTCAAAAGAAGGCTGACTACACTACCAGAACTTGCGAGGGGTATTGAGGTTGTTGCATCTGGTGTTATCTGCGTTATCCAGCGCCAGGCTCGGATGTAATTCTTGGGATATGTCGAGGCACAAGTTCTCCAACTCTTGAGGGTCTTCGCTGTATGTATGACCCGGTCTGCTAAGCAGCCAGGAGCTCAGGATCGCTGACATGCAAAGGAATGGACCGCGGGGCTTCTCCAAGGCAACATGTGAGGCTCTACCCAAGAAAAAGGCAAAGTCCTGAACATTGCCACCTGGAAGCTTCTGAACAGGGCTTCAGCGGCACACCCGAAACATGACATCCAGTGTTTGAAGGATGTCACACAGAGCTGCTCAAGTTCATCAGCAAGTTTTGCCGAGCTCAAAGTGGTGGTTAAGGTGCGGGACTTAGAAAGACGAACCCCAAGCCTGAACTACGCTTCTCCCAGAATCCCACTCACCAGCTCCTGAACGATGACAACGCGCGCACATACTTGCAATCTTCGGCCGTGTGTCACACAGATTCTACCACCGAGTATCTCTTGAATTGAATCATCGGGATTTCGGCCGGTATGGCCACGCAGGACTTCCAACATCAGGTAAAGCAATGCGCTCTTCTTATATAAGCTGCCATGACTCTTGCCTGAATCATCAGCATTCAGTCCCATTTCCAGATTTGATTGAACCAAAGCGGCTGCAATCCATTCACAACGCAAGGCTGGCCTCACGGCAGCTATGTGGCAAGTTTTCTGGGTTTCAACCTGGTGGGGTCTTCTGGGTTTAGAATTTTCACGATTTGCGCAGTAAGGTTTCAGATCCTAAGAGCTCTGGGTATGGGTCTTGAGAGTTTCGGGTTTTGGAAGGCCAAAGCCATTGAAACCCGTCGACAGGCTTGCAAGCACAAGTAAAAGTCTGAATGCCTTCTGCTGAACACCCAACATCTTCACACTTTCTCTTCATGGATACTGTTGAGGGAAGGTTTAGTGAAACATTGACTGGATGCATCTGGACACCATGCAATCGTATCTTGTTTATGGAGATGTCATGACAGCAAAGTGAGCCGGCAGTCAATCGAAACTCTCGTCGTGACGATGGATGAGGTGCAAGACCCGTGCCAGGCTGCTGTTTAAAAATTGAGGGGTGGTGGGTACACAAGCCATCTGCAAACGGAAAGATGTCCCTTTTGGCTTGCTGATACTCAGATCTCCTGTCCCGACACGGCAGACAGATTTTTGGTCATTGCAACAGGATGGCACACACTACCCTGAATGCCCCCCCCCCTGAATACCATTTGTGGCTAACCCTCCTCATTGTAGCAATGCTTGCATGCTTCGTGTCACTACCTGCGCGATCCTATGATGTCTTTGCGCGCTCGTTCCACGACCAGTCTTATTTGCTGCCGGAACTGACACAATGATCAGAAATGCGTCTTCCATTCGCAGCCTAACTCAAGCAACACGCAATGGATCCTAACAAACCGAACCCCAGACTGTGAAGCAACCTGTAAGCAACATGGCAACTACCACCATTTGGTTGCCCTTGACCGTTGTCATGGCTAGCTGGCCTTTGAAGCTTGGCCGTAAGTAAAGCAACAAACTGGTTTGTAACAGCCCCGCGGATGCCACAACAACATCTCAAGATCCGTGCGTCAGTACGAAAATGCCATCAGCCCGCGCTCCAAATGCCCTCGCCCACGGCTAAATAGCTCACGCCTGTTTTTTGTGTGCTCTGCACGCTCCCTTCTCCACGTCACTTGCCTTCTTCTTCAGAAGGCTCAGTCGCTTCAAGTCGCCTTGATTTTGCAGTTGCTTTGCAGCTTGTAAGGTTTCTGGCCGACTATGGAATAGTCATGAAATCCAAGCGGCGGCGGTGGTGGCAAGGGCTCAAGGGCCTTCTTGGACTTGCTCATGGCCGCGTGCACTCGTTCAGGGTTTAGGGGCGAATCAACAAATTCTGCCTACACGACGGCTCTCCACGTTTCAGGAAACCTAGATGGGGACTTGCAGTAAAACGCGAGTACCTCCCACCCCCACAACAAAGCCTGAAGAATATGACAGCTGCATCCAGCCGGTTGATTCTAACTGCGGTTGCTATTACTGCCCGAGCCATCCGCGTGCTTCCAGCTTTGCTACTGTTGGCGCTTGGGACTACCTCAGCTCTTGCAGGTCCTGTTGTGCCGTACATCCCAGCAGTGACTGCCAAGATTCGTGGCTCAGACCCCAGGTTCAATCGATGGAGATTGCGCGTAGAATCGGTTCTGATGCTCCGTCGCGATCTTGTGCACAATGTCACAGGGCCGCTGATAGTGCGGGCTAACCAAAACAGCACAGCATGTTAAACGTTACCGGGACTACTGCTACTTTTGGTTTTGGGTTTGGGGTCTGGGAGGGACGAAGCGCTGCTGAGATGCTAGCAGCACCTCCAGATCCCCCAGCAAGAGTATAGTTCGGGAACACCAGTAGTAGAACTCCTACGGCAGCGTCCCCATACTTCAGTCTGCAGCCTAGTCCGTAGCTCCGAGCCTCCAACATTTATGGCCCGTTCGGGCCGCGAACAACAACGCTGACGACCACGACAACAACAACCGCGACTACTACAACAACTACGACTGCACTAATGACTCAATTCGGTAGGAAGTTTTTTTGTTGCTATGGAAGCTTTTTTGCTATGGATTTTTTTTTGCTATGGAGGCCTGGCTCGCTTTTGCCGGGCGCGATTATTTTTTTGCTATGGAGGCCGGGCGCGTTTTTTTTGCTGTGAAGGGCGGGCGCGTTGCGAGAATGCTCCACGCGAGAGCGCAATTGTGCGTGAGAATGCGAGGACGCTCCACACTAGAGCACGATTCTGCGCGAAAATACATGGATGCCCCGCACGAGAGCGCAATTCTGCGTGAAAATGCAAGCACGCTCCACACCAGGGCGCGATTTTGCGCGAAAACATATGGACGCTCCACACGCTCCACACCCGCGAAAATGCTCGGACGCTCCACTCCTGAGCGCAATTGTGTGTGAAAATAAGGGATGCTCCACGCGAAAGCTCCATTCTGTGTGAAAATACAACGACGCTCCACGCCGGGCCGTCCTGTAACATACTGTTGTTTTGCTGCGCAGGCTTTTTTGCAATGAAGGCCTGCCGGGCGGCTGTTTTTTCTGCTGCAGAGGACGGGCCCGTTTATTTGCTGTGGAGGAAATAAAGGTGTGTTGCAAAGATTTTCCACGCAGGAGCGCAATTCTGCGTGAAGATGCGAGGAGGCTCCACACCAGAGCGCGTGTCTGCATGAGAATATGAGGACACTCCAGGCGAGAGCGCAATTCTGAGTGAAAATACAAGGCTGCTCCATGCCGGGGCGCCCCGTAGGAGTGTGTTGTTTTGCTGCGCAGGGTTTTTTGCTATGGAGGCCTGGCGCGTGTTTTTGCAGCGGAGACCGGGCGTAGCTGCGGACATTGACGATGGATCTGGCCAAAATAGTTCAGACAGTCTGCATCATCAAGCATGAAAAAGATTGCTCTGAGGGCATCGGAAGCTCAATGGCCAATGCTGCATCAAGAAGTGCAATCCGCAACAAAGCGGATTCTACAAGCGTTGCATTGGGATGCCAAGCTGCCTTTTTTTCGTTGGTCTCCTCCCCCCTCCCTCCGTCATTTTT